CTGAGGGAGCTGGGCTTGTTCAGCCTGGAAAAAAGAAGGCTGTGGGGTGACCTCATTGCAGCATTTCAGTACCTAAAGGGAGCCTACAGAGGGGAGGGGAGTCAACTCTTTGAAAGGGTAGATAACTTCAGGACAAGGGGAAGTGGTTTTAAGTTGAGGGAGGGGAGAATTAGGTTGGATGTCAGGAGGAAGTTCTTTATAGAGAGTAGTGAGGTGCTGGAACAGGCTGCCCAGAGAGGTTGTGGATGCCTCGTCCCTGGAGGTGTTCAAGGTCAGGTTGGATGGGGCCCTGGGCAGCCTGGTCTAGTATTAAATGGGGAGGCTGGTGGCCCTGCATGTGGCAGGGGGGTTGGAGATTCATAATCCTTGAGGTTCCTTCCAACCTTGGCCATTCTGTGATTCTGTGAAAGAAGGATGCTTTATGTGCGGTCCTTATACAACTGCTACTTCAGGTATTTAGGACGAGATTGGTTCTTGTCATTTCATTGGTATTTTCTTATGAGTGATTTACAGCTTTGAACCTAGTCCTAGAATATGGATACCACCTGCCCCAAGAGTTTTCAGTACTAGGCAGTTTTGATTCTAAGCTGTCCTTTGCTCGTCCATCATGCTGCTACCCCTCAGTTTTGGGGAATTGTCTCATCACGTGATTTCTATTTGGTTCTTACTGTTGGCACATTTCAAAATGCTAGCAGCTTGCTGATTGCTTCTTCTTCTTGTGGAGTTACTTGACCACTGCTATTGCTTGCACCAGAAAAGTCAGAGAGATCTAAGCCAGTATGTCAAATTAATGACCTATTGAATTTATGCAGATAACTTCCTAGCAAGAACAGTCCACATTAGTAGTGTGACTAGCTCCAGAGTTCGCATGAACCAAGGAATCTACTTACTTGCTTCTTTATCTTTTCAAACACATCTGCATTGATTTGACACTAAAAGAGTTCTTTTACTTTTTGTTTTACCCTTTATAACACTGAACTTCTCAGTCTATACTGACAAACTCCACAAAAGTCTTTGTGCAAAGGCTGTGCTGCGACTTTTGATCATGGTATTCATTGTGAATACGCTCTTAAGAGATCAAAAATAGTAGTAACTCTGCTGAGTAATGCTTCTCATTGCAGAAACAATGTTGGTCCTTTGTCCTTATCTGTGCCAGCTCTTATGCCTTGGCTGAGACACCTAGAGGTGATACAGTGCTTGGCAGGACATGTTTTTCAGCTGCTTTTTGCTAGAAGGATCCTCCCTCTTGAGCTAAATAGTATGTAGAATACAAACAAAATGAATGTTTAAATGCAGAGTCACTGAAAGAAAGATGAAAGAAAATGAATCTCGGCTTTTTCCTGTCTTTGTTTATCTTTTCATGTTGAAGAGAGTACTGAAATGGCACTTCTTTGTACTTTGCACTGAATACGAAACAAAACGGTGCTTAATATTAGGCATATTTACTCTGTTCTGAAAGTGTGAAGTGTTGTTGGGGCATTTTTTTTTTTAATTAATCCAAAAATATTTAAGGAATGAGAGACCTTCGTCTAATTCGTAGATGTTAGAAGAGAAACAAAATTTTTCATTATTGAACAGTGTCCTGCTACACTGCTAAGAAGCTGTTACCTCTTCTGGTTCTATTTTTGTCAGTTACATTAGTCCATCAAATATCCATCAGACACTGAGTTCTCCATAGCATAAGCACTGATAAATGGGTTTTAGGCTTTTTCTGAGACTCTACAAAGCCTAATTTCAGTGTGGCTTTTCTGAGAAGACCATGCCAGATATCATCATAGCATGATATGTTTATTCAGCTATTTAGTTACGCTTAAGAAAAGAAAGATACATATTTACTTAGGTGCTTTATTCTGAGTTTCTAAGAGACAGAAATTCAGTGTTAATCATGATTTTGATACTGACTGAAAAGTCATTTTTATTTTCTCTGGCTTTATATTGATAACATCTGGATAGTTCTTCAGGATCTTTTGTACATTACTTAACAGAATGTATTTTCTAGAAATAAAGGCTTTTGCTATTACTGTTTATTTTTCTATTGCAGAAAAATCTGCTAGAGATTGAAAAGAAACTGAATGAATTAAAGCCTGGATCTAAGACTGAAGGCAGAGGAAAAAGAATACTTATTCAAGATATAGAGGATTCAGAAGGTGATGAAGAAAGAGGGGAAAATGAAGAAAAATGTGGAAGAAGCAGCAGAGATAAAAGTAATGTCATATCATTTCCTATTAATCTCAGTCTGAGGAAAAAGACTAAATTCCATTCACTGCTTAAAGTAGACCTGAATGTCTACTGGGGAGTGATTAACTGCAGCACTGCTGAGGTGAGGCTGCTGGCATAGTCAGAACTGTTGGCTTCAGGAGAAAGTGAGGCAATAACAGCCACTGAGGCTTGTGCTGTCAAGTTGTTTGGGGTTCAGCAGCATGTCTGGGCTCCAGCATGCCACAGAAAAACATCTTTGGGTTGGTTTCCACACTTTTTATTGGTACTTTAAGGTAATTTGGCAAGATGGCCATGGCTTTTCTGTTTTCCACGGTCTATGTAATTCTGTACCTTGAAATTAATTCAGTCTGTTGTTTTTTCAGTTACCCAAATGTTCTACTTAATGTGAATTACAGACTGTAAAAGGCTGATTTAATAATGCACTATTTGCACAAGAGTTTAGGGAAAATATATCCTCAAAATCAGTTCTTATCCACTAAGTCTTCTCAGCAAATACCTTGGAAGAAAGGATGGATCGTGTCCCTAGCCCTACATGTCAGTTAATTGGGGGTTGTTTTCCATTGGCAGTATTCAGATGACTAAGTGTCTTTTAGCTCCACAGGAAGACTCCTATTCATCTGATGAAAGGTTAGGCTTTTAAACATAGGGAAGTTTGTCAACTGACATCAGTGTCATGTGTTTCATATGATATATTTAAGTTATTTTGAGATGTAGGTGGCAAGCATCTTCATAGATTACTGTGTACTTTCACACAGAAACAGAGAATTACACAGAATTGTAGGGGCTGGATGGGACCTCTGGACATCATCCAGTCCAGTCCCTTGCTACAGCAGGATGCCTATGGTAGGTCTCATGGAAAAGTGTCCAAATGAGCTTTGAATACTGCCAGAGAAGGAGAGTTCACAGCCCCTCTGGGGATCCTATCCTAGTGCTCTGTCACCCTCACAGTGATGAATTTCATCCTTGTGTTTGTATAGAATAGACACAGTTTGTGTCCATTGCCCCTTGTCCTGTTGCTGGGCACCACTAAAGAGTCTGGCCCCGTCCACTTCACTCCTGCACTTTAGATATTTATAAACAGTGATGAGATCACTTCTCAGCCTCCCCTTCTGCAGCTGAACAGCCCCAGGGTTCTCAGCTTTTCTTCGTGCAGGAGATGCTCCAGGCCCCTAAACATCTTTGTAGCCCTAGTTTTAATTTTAAGTTTGTTTTAAAGTACATCTGGAAACAAATATGAAGTCAATTTACTTATTGAATAGATTTGATATGTTCTGTCAACAGCAATAAGTAGACTAAGCATCTTAGTCTTCTAGATTTGCTTTCTACGTAATATTAAATTTACTTGCTAGTACCAACTTAAGGTCCTTGTCATTATGACAGTACCAATCAGGTGTCTCTTTAACATGATTTGGAACCATTCTTAGATTGAAGAACATCTTCATATATCAGTCTTCTGTGACCTTGTTTTCTTTTACAGAATTGTTCTTCATGGGGGGATGTTGTTTAGGGTTTATTTAGGGTTGATCAAGAAAAAAATGTCTCTGCAGATGAATTATGTACAGTGGATGAATTACACACTGTGTTCTCTGCTGATCTTGACCACGTAGAGTTGTTCTGAAGTAATGCTTTATGCCCTTAAGTAAAAGGAGATATCCTCACAGTGACTGATTTATAGCCTTCCAAAACAAATAGGAGTTGGTAACACTCTGAGTTTCTCATGTTGATTTTCTAAACAAATTTTATTAAATGGATGTAGTATGTCTGTGATCATACTTTCACTGTAATAGAAAGTTCATTTGCCATTGTGGTCTTGACTAAGTGACCGTGTCTGTGTCCATTCTTCCTATAGTTAGAAGCCTTGTTGATGAGTTCTTCTATAAGGACATTTGTTCACCTTATTATTCACCTTATAATTGCTATTCTGCATTCCCTGATCCTCTTTTCAGTGTGCTTTTAAATTTTATATTTTTTTATTTCTAGAATTGTAAACGCTATGAAGAAGGAACACTCATCTAGAAGTAATTTGTGTAATGCCTAGTTGTACTGGTTGTACTGTCGTTTTTAGGCTCTATTGAAAACTTTGTGAGAAATTAGGTCACGTTAAAATACACACTGTTTCACAGAATCACAGAATGGGTTGGAAGGGACCTCAAGGATCACGAATCTCCAACCCCCCTGCCACATGCAAGGCCACCAGCCTCCCCATTTAATGCTATACCAAGCTGCCCAGGGCCCCATCCAATCTGGCCTTGAACACCTCCAGGGACGGGGCATCCACAACCTCTCTGGGCAGCCTGTTCCAGCACCTCACCACTCTCTCTGTAAAGAATTTTCCCCTGACATCCAACCTAAATCTCCCCTCCCTCAACTTAAAACCATTTCCCCTTGTCTTGCAGTTATCTACCCTTTCAAAGAGTTGACTCCCCTCTTGTTTATAGGCTCCCTTTAGGTATTGAAATGCTGCAATGAGGTCACCCCACAGCCTTCTTTTTTCCAGGCTGAACAAGCCCAGCTGCCTCAGCCTGTTGAAAAGTAACTCTAGAACTGAATTTGTAATGAACTTCCTGTAGTCGAGAAAACCCTTCAATTACAGTGTCAGTGGAAATGTTGACCAGTAAGTTGTTTTCCATTCTTTATGACTACTTCTAAGCAGAGAACAGAATTATTTAAGAAGTCTGTTCATTATGTGTTCTGGTTTAGAATGATCCAAGTTTCATTTTAGTCAGCTACACCAAGAACATGTAATACAGAATAGTTTAACTGACACTGTTGTGTCAGTGTTGTATACTTGCAAGAGTATACAGTGTTGTATAAAAGCAAAAAATATAAAAATATAAAAATATAAATATAAAAAATTATTAAACATTCATCTATCAAGATTAGGGTGATTCCAGTTGCCTCTATAAATAGCTAGTCCAGAATGAATAAAAAAATTGAAACTATTACTTGGCTTCATAGGAGGTGAACTTGTTGTGACGTGTACTTAGATATTTTGCTGTTCATTCTCCATTCCATTTCATTTTGTGCCATGCTTCTGAAGGAGATATACCTTCTGTAGCTGAAAATTCATTCTAAGTGAAACATGATGTAATCCATTATATAAACACATGTCAAATATTCCTTTCAGAGCATTCGATAACTTTCCATTTTAAGTTGGTTCTTTTAGTGCTAACATGGATTAAAATTCTTTTTGGGCATATTTAGCATTGCCACGTTTTTGCTGGACAGAAGTCTCAAATAAAAATAACAAAGCTTCATAAAAACAGAGGAAGGGGAAGTAGCAGATTTTTCTTATTGTCATTCCCATTGCAGAGTATCAGCTTACCAAAAAATAAAGGTATTTCAAATCAGAGAGGCTGAGATGGATTCAGAACTTTTGTCTATTAGACAGTAGAGAATCTAAACATTCATGTACATATCTGTAGGCAACAAGACTCCAGTAGTTCTGCTGCATATGGCATGAATTGTTTTCAAAAATCTTATGCTTTTCCATCCTCTTTGGTTTAATTTCAGTTACATTTTGTGCATCAAAAAATGTACTTTCATATTCTATCAACTTCGAAAGTTTAGTTTGAGTCATTTGAAAGTATCATTCTAATATAGGAGGACATGAAAAACTGTTTGGCAGGTGAGCCAAATCAAGTTAAGGGAAGAGGAAAACCCGACATTTTAAGTGATAATTAAAGTGATAATTAAAAGAAAATGTTTGTTTGCAGAGGTCCCTTAATGTATCTGGTAATTTCAATAGTCAGGCTTTCTACTGAAATATGTATTTGAATACTGGATTGGTAATCTGCTAATAATTCAGGTGAATAAGGGATTTATGTATGATAATATCCAATACTGTTACTCTGTGATTTTTTTCCTAATTAATGGAATGGTGAAAATTGAATGATCTGAACTGTCTACAAAAGGCTTGTTGAACTTAGTTTAAATGAAGCCTTTTTGAGAATGTTTTACGAAATTTTATTGTTCCTATGGGAAGGAGAGAAGAATTCTAAAATGTGTAACATCGCTGTTTTATTGGTTGCGTGTTCTGATTTTAACCTGCAAAGGTTTTGATTTGGTCGTGGAAAATCAGTGTTGCTATTTTAATATTCAGTATTTAAAGAGTTAATTTCAAGGTGAGCTCTGTTCCATTCTGACACTGCAGAACAGGGGTGTTCCCTTGTGCTCAGCAGGGAGAAGTGCATTTCACAGGAATGCTTTCTCAGTAATCATTACAGATCACTTCTAAGTAGGAACTTTCCTGTGTTTTTTGAGGCAAATCAGTCTTTGTGAAGTGCAGCTTTGTTGTGCTGTATTCTCTGGAAGTGCACCCCTCGTTTGGCATGGCAGTAGTTTCTTCTGATGATGCAAGCTCTAACTCAGCTGATTAACTTCCTTGCAGAAATTGTCCTGCCAGTAAGAGGCGAGGCTGCTTTGGGGAAGGTTGAGATGGGGAATGCACTGAGAAAGTTTCAAAGCAAAGGAGGTGGTTCCAAATTGGAAGGCAGAGAGACCGAGAAGCAGAAAGAATCAACTGAGAGCAGATTAAAAAAAGGCACAGAGGAGAAAAAATCACAGAAAACAGACCATGAAGGTGAAGCCAATGGTTATTTAAACAGCAACCAAACAAGTGAATGCCCTGAAGCCGGCCAGTCCTCCAGACCGCATGGAGCAGGGTCCCTGGCAGCTGGTGCTGCCCATTCGACTTCGCTTCCTCCGGCTGCTGCAAAACTGAAAAGTGAAGGAAATGAGTTATTTAAGAGCGGGCAGTTTGGAGAAGCTGTGCCCAAATACTCGGAAGCAATTGAATATGTCATCAGTGTCGGTAAGTGTGACACCTTACACTTAAATTTAGAATTGTTGTTTATGTGATTTGAAGGAACTGCAGATGAACTAATCTAGCCTATCCCTGGATTTTTGGCACGAGTTACTGTGCAGTGAATACTTAGTCATTTCCAGTAGAGGATAATTCACATAATACAAAGTGAGGAAGACGAGTGAAATATTCTTTTAACTTTCTCGGGACAGAGATGTTTGCATTTCTCAGTGTTTGAATAACTAAGTAATTCTAGGTGACATAAGAAAGGAAAGCTCCTTCTGGCTTTGCATCATGAGCAGACTGCATCGCTGCAGTACAACTTACTGTATACAAATGCTTTCATTCTTGTGTGTCATTTTAGTAATGGTCTTCGATTGTAATTGTAACTTCTTTTAGGAGAACGAAATCCAGATGATTTAAGTATCTTGTACTCAAACAGAGCAGCATGTTACTTCAAAGAAGGCAACTGCAGTGACTGCATTCAAGATTGTAACAGGTAAATTGCAACCTTCTATGCAGGGCAACAACATTCCTGATGATGATTAAACATTTTATGTGATATCTTATTATTGTACTTTGAATCCCTGTATAATCTGACAGATGCCTTTATTTGTTACGTAAACATTCATGTGAAACTTAGGGAAGGAATAACATCTAACTGACTTACAAGGCTTCTTGTATATACAAGTATGTGTAGAAGATTTGAGGATTTTATTATAACAGCAGGCTTCAGCAATGCTCACTCGTAACCTCTGTGTGCAATCATTTTTAATCCATAATTCTTATCATTGTGTAGGAAATTACTTTCAAGTGTTTGTGAGGTTCTCATGTCTGCTCTGTTTTGTGTTGTTTTTATTTTTTAAATACATATTCAGCTTAGCTACAAACAATGATTACAGTTAAGAAACTGAGCTAAAATCCTTCCTGCTTATTATGGCTTTTATGGATACAGGAATGAGAGAAGATCAGACACCTTCAATAACTTTCAAACACTGCCTTCAACTAAATTATTAGTGTATTTCCAGATGTCTTTTGTTATATTTTCTTAAATAGGGTTAGTAAGACCAAGGCTTAAATGGCCTAAAGAGTATATCTCAAGATGGTTGGGATACTTTAGATCTTTTTTTTT